GGTTGATTTAATATAAGCAAGCAACATTAAAATATATTATTTTCTGAATTCCAAACTTGAAAAATGAATATTTGTCATAAGTGTAAAAATATTGCTTAATCCGGACCTGTTCACAGGATGCGCGGTCAGATTACCTCGCACACTCCACTTCCCCGCAATGTGCCGTCACTAGTACCCGTGCATTGATATTAGATACAGCCAGACTAGGTGGTCTGTGGAACCCGACTTACAGCCAATTCTGTACAACATGGCAGCCGCCCTAACATTCGCGTGTTTGCTCTTCCTGAGTATAATTTTTATTTCCTATTTTACTTAATTAATCGTAATTAAAAATAATAAACGGGATATTTTAACGTTTGGAAATATAAAATTTTGAAAAATGCTTTTACAAGATCATTGTCACGATTGATATTTACTCCTAACAAAAATACTTCACAACTGTTTTACCTAGCGATAGGCGATTTTGGTTACCAATAGAACTAGTGGTTTTACCAGCGATAAAATATCAATAGACCCAATCGAGGTTTAAACCTACGTATACTCGAGTTATATCACAGTATAGTAATGACGTGATTGTCATAAATTCCGTTTCCAGACTTTTTTTACGTAATGATTTACTCAACAGTTTTTTAAGACTTCTTTTATGAAGTGAATAAATATACACAAAATTTCTATTCCCCTGTAAATAAACTTTTGCCAAGTTTAAGATAAATGCGAGGACATTAAAACTTTTTTATTTGGATGAAATATTTTAAAACGTCCGAAGTAACAACTTACTTTGTTCACAGACGTGCACATCTGCGAAACTGCTTAGAGAAACTTAAAGATATAGTACCGTTGGGCCCCGAAGCATCTAGACACACAACATTAGGACTTTTAACTAAGGCGAAAAGGTTTATAAAGGTAAGTTGCTTGTACCATTCTTGCATTTTATTACCACTCTACTTGATCGCCCTTTGTCAATAGAGAAACACCTCAATTAGGTATATCTAAATTTCAGTTCGCGTAAGTCTAACTTTGCTAATAATGAGTTAGCATCAATCAAATAATTCGAAAGAACATTATGTATTTAATTACATAATTTTAATTTTTTTAATAATTATTTTCCAAAGATTTTTCGATCGGGTGACATAATTTTGTACTGTTATTACTATTGCTCATTACTGGAACTGTCAACTTAGCACCATAATAAGACATGACAAAATTGCCAATGTTAATGCAATAAAAGTAATTTCAGTATGTAATTTCAGTATTCCATTTCACCGTTTCTTTACTTTATATATTTGGAGGATTGCCGATGAAACATGATAACCAAAAAAGTTATTATTGGAGTTCGGGAACACGGGGCTTCTAACAGAACCGGTTTAGTTTAATGATGTAAATATGAATATGCAACAAAATAATATTAATACTAAAGGTAACGTTATAAATGTAAAATTTAAGAAAAGAAGGTAAAAGGGAAAATACCACTTACCCGACAAAATAGAGATTTCAGATAAGTTTGATATGCTATAACATATTTGAAACTTATGACTACGTGAGTTTCTTGATTTCTTGAATAAAAGTTCCACGTCTATCACTTAATAATTGTGCAAGAAAAATTATTACTCAACGTCTACTGTTGACAAATGATAATAGCTATGAGAAGTTGTTGAGGCATAAACTATATGCTTCAACTATACGAGTGTAACTATTGAAATGTAACAACCAGCACTGTCCATTGCAAAGTCCAGTTGTAAAAATAAAATTATTTTATACCTAACTTCATTTTTCAGATACATAAATTCAAATCAGTTATTTGTCGAACTAATTAATATATAGGGAATTCATCACAATGTCATTAATTTTAACCACGTATTCGGAAGACCTAATAAAGACAGAAAATCGAAAAAAATGTTTTAATAAGCAAAGTGCTATATATGGTCGGATGAGTGTGTTTTTTAGCAATACTGTAAATAGATAGGTTCCATACTACTCTTCAAAAAGCAATAAGTCACAGAATAAAGTATACGTACTATAAACTGAATAATTAATCGAACATAATACTAAATACTCATATTCAGTTATAAAACATAGTGAAAACGTTAACAATATGAAACATACTAAATAACCTAACATTCTAAAACAATTATTTTCCTTATACATTTGTTTTTATTAACAAATAAATAATACTTTTATTTACACCAAATATACAGGGTGTAAGAAGTTTGACTGCCGTTACATGAGATAGAGTAATCATAAATGAATAAAAAAGTTGTATATTACAGGGGTACATTTTTCAAAATACAGCGTGTATTAATATTGGGGAGTTTCATCACAACGTGACAACAGCGCTTAACCTAACGCTAAACATCTGATGCATACCACGTGTGTACGCGGCAGACTTGTCCTACGGAGAAAATGTAATCAACTATTATTGTGAAATATTTAGTAAATTTCAAGACAATCATTTTCCAGTTTTTAAATAAATAAAATGTATCGATTTTGTAATAGGAATATAGTGTTGTGCATAAATTTTAGCTCGAATTTTAGTAATTGTGAATCTCTTAAAACAGGATCTTAACTTTTAATCAAAGTATGAACTTAAAAAATATGTAATTAAAGTACCCAAAGATTCACGTCGTCCAAATAATCATACGTAGTAAAGATAATTCAGGTACTTACCAAAAAACAAAATTCAGTAATTTTAAAACCCACAAGTACAAAACAATCTACAACATATGCTCAAAGTGCCCACCACCATTTTTGATGCACGCACGACACCGAATCCAATTTTCGCGCACTCGCTGGAAAATACCTCAAGAAAAGGAAATAGTGGTACGCAAAAAATACTTAGACACGGGCCAATTCCAGATACCAGCTGAATTGCGTATTGCTAGACAGTTTATTACCTCTTGTTATCCGCCGCGCCGTTGTCACATTGCTCGATATGAATTTTATCGAATTTTAAATTTATTACAACGCTAATTATTTTTTAGAATTAAGCATAAAGAAGTTCAAAAAAGTGATAAACGTTGTATTTTATGGTTCTCTATGCACGCAGTTATGTCAATATTCCTTAATTAATCGAACTTTTGTACATCAAGTTGTAGATTTTGATAATTTTTTTCTCGGAAATGGTTGAGTTTAGAACCCATGTCATATAAGGTTTTTTGTTTATTTTAATGTATTATATCGTCTGTTAAAATTAAGGCAGTCAAGCTTATAACACCCTGTAGTGAAAACACATAAAGGATTAGGAATAATACATTTTAAAATGTAAAAGTACAACGTAAAAGATAAGAATACGTCACAAAATGAAAATATATACTCAAAAGTGTAGTTCTATGCAATGTATAATGTATTTCCAATTCATTTACATTTTTTGTGTATAAAAACCAGTACAAATATGTAAAAAGCCTATGTGAATTTCCATAATTTTTATTAGTTTAGCACATACTTAATAACTGATATTTAATTATCAAGATAATTTAAAGGCTTATAATATTCTTCACTACACTAAAATTTTGATATAATCGTATTCGCCAATTAATTCTATTTGATTTTCTAAACAACCATAAAAGCGAAAAAAGTAAATTTAACTGAGCCGTATTATGGTGAAAATACGGATTCGTTTTCATCAAAGTTTGATGAACCCCGCACCGAGTGCAATTCGCAAGACAAAATATCTGTTATGGAAAGCAGGAAGAGGATCGATTTACGTCCGATATTTAGTCATTGTCGTCTGCATGGCGCACTAAACAATCTAATTATCAACGCGAAACCAGCGTGCATCTTTGTTAACTGAGTTACGCGCTAGCAATGAATAATGGCCCTCTTAACGACCGTCTAATCATTCATTAGCATTCCCTTTTTATGCGGGTAAACCATTCATTTACTTCATATTGGCTTTTTACTCGATGCAAACATTGGTTTGTTGCACATAGTATATTCATTACGTAGTTGTAAGCTGAATTATAATGCGTTTCAGTTCGCTTATTTAGTTGCTTCTCTGAAAATTACTTCGGTCTTTATAATAGCGGGAGATTGACGACTCTCAGTTCTTATTGCAAGAGTTTTACAAAGATGCTACAGAGATGGTAATTTCGATGTTTTTACATCATTTCATTGAATGTATTTCATACTAACAAAAACAATTAAAATTGGTTTCGACATTGGTAATGCAAACAAGAATAATATTAAGTATATAGAAACACAATACAACATCAAATATAGAATGCAGTAAAGCAAGAAAAAATAAATAAAAAATACTAGAACAAAAAAAAATCAGTTGGCGAAGTGATCAATAAAGATTTTAATAACCCGTAAAAAATGTCATACGGATGACTTATACAACTAAAGTTAACACACATAACATATAGCGGTGACCTCAGCATACATATATTTGTCTTAGACTTAAGACATTTAAAAGTAATTACTACACAGCATTCATAAATGATTACAAGCCACGTGACCAGTAGGTTTGTTTGGAACAGTAATTTTATTTCCTTCATGTTGGCCATTAAATTTTGGTTAAATTAAAAATTATTAAAATAGTAAGATCAAGGTATATCGAGTGCACATGTAACGAGTTGTCATTGATCATTGCAAACGAATCATTAATATTGGTGTCACCGAGATTTAGGGGATTTTCGTTATCAGTATGAATCGTGCAATGTTGGGTTGCTAAAGTTTGACGGTTATGTGGCTTATAAACATTTATGTAGGGTCCATATTTCTTGAATTAATTTTAGGAACAATATAAATTAATATCGGAAAATAAAATCGCACAATCGGGCGCGTTAGGAAGCAACTTATATAAAAACGCTAATGCAATACAAACTATCTAACAAACAAACCGTGATATAGGACTGGTTAGTTAACAGATCTTATTTCAGGATAAAATCCAGAATCTTTAAATGCTACGTACTTTAAAAAATTACTGTGAACACTATCAATCAATCGTTTGTGTGCATTATAATGGGGGTACCATATTAAAGCTGCTTATTCAAGTGCATTAACACACGTGAACTTTATACAGTTTCTAATAATGAAACCATAAAAAGTCATAACTTCGTTGGTTTTGTATTATACATGCTCATTAAATGAAAATTTTTTATCAATACACCCAAATCATTACGCGATTCACAACGCGATAGTAAAGTATTATTTTATTTAGTAGTTAAATTAACATAATGATTGTTTACATTTAGATGTAACTTATTCGACTGGCACCAATGTTGAATACGACCAAAATATTTTTGCATTTGCTGACAATTATTCAAGGAGTTGACAGATGAACATATTTTTAAGTCATCAGCAAATAAAAGTTAGCAGCAGTTAATAACGTCAGTTAAATCTTAAATAAATAAAATGAACAGAAGTAGGCCCAAAGTAAAACTCTGAGGAACTCTAGAGGTAGCTGTATACATTGATGAATCAAAGCTATTGTAACTGACAAATTGAGCCCTCTTAGGATTTGTTGAAGTCCTGGTAAAAAAATTGGGAGTGAGTAGATGTAGATTCAAAATATTGTCAGTACTTCACTGACCTGTTTTAATTTATAATTCCTGAACTTTGCGTTTGATTTTAATGCAAATATAGTTGATAATATAACATGTCGGTCGATAGCCGCACGGTTTAAGGCGTCAGTACTTAAATCGATGTGTCGATCTGCCCGGGTTTCGAATCCCGCGGCCGGTAGACCGTAGATTAGCTATGCTTGTACGGAGGATTGGCACCCTCTGTGCAGGTATGGTAGGATGGAAGAATGTTGGCTTGGGTCAATGTGAGAGATTGACACCGGTTGGCATTTGACCACCCCCCTAATTAATGAGGTTTTCCAGGTTTCCCTCATTCCTGCACTGAATGGTGGTTAGGGCCTACCAACATAAGTCGATCCTGGGCGCAAATGCGGCCTGCGT